GTCAGAGAAACGGGACCACACTGGAAAACAGGCTGATCTCCAGCATCTATAAACAAAGGTGTTGATGGAAGCAGCACAGCTGATATTTCTCTTCAGGAACAGACGAGGCAAAGCTACTATGATGCAGAATTATTTCCTCAACTGATGTCTTTTGTATTGACTGTCAAATATTAGATGGTGTTTCTGTGTCTTTGAAATAGGGTCAAATGGATCTTAAATGAAAGAATCAAAGGTTTGTTAGGTTTTTCTAGAGTTTTGTCATAAAAGTTGGGATATAACATATTTAATGCATCTTGACTAATTGTGTGATTACATGTGTACCTATATAGGCTTATCCATTATTTTCGCATTGCCGTATGGCAATGAAGATTGTTTTTAATCTCTTCTTCAATTAATCTGACTCCTGAGGAAGACAAAACAGAATTTATATATATATTACACTAATGGTAGGAAAAAGTATAATCAATTGATAGGTTTACACATCTATTTAACTATTGGGTTTTAATGAGAAATAATGATTATTCCTGACAGTAGAAATAGTTTATTTTTTGTCATACACTGTAAAACAGTTTGTTTTTTCTCAGGGAAAGCTGCTGCATAAATCTAGGCAGGCAGGCTGAGGAGCTGCTTCCCTCGGGTCACATTTCTGCTCTCCACCTGATCTAGGTGGTTTGGACAGAAACTGGAAGAGGGAAAATGAAGTCATCCATGTCTAACTGGAAAAAACAGCAATTCCCATCAGCAGAGAGCTGAGGGGGTGACCTGTTAGTGGTTTGACAAAGCCAGCTATGATTCCCCTCCTGGGTTACTGAGGGAGTTAAACAAATTAGATTTAAAAATAGGATTCAGAGGCTCATCTATGGGTCAGAGGAAAGATGGAGTCCAGGCAGTTTATAGCGATTAAACCTTTTTCTCTTCACTGATTCTTTGTGTTCATTTCATATGTGAATATATCTATAAACTCAGCTAAAGTTCCTGTTTTCCTGCTTAAACTGCTGTGCTGCCACCTTCTGACCACATTTGACTACTACACCCATTTAAATCCATAAAACTAAAACATTTGAAGTTGGCCTCAGTAGTTAGATTTGTTAATTAATTAGAAAAACAGGGAAAAATTAGTGTTTTACAGTCTAAATAAAACGCAAATAAGAACTTTAGATTCATCTTTAGGGCTCATTTAGCACGTCTCTGATGTTGCTATTTTCAAATATCCATTATGTCAACAGCTGTATATTGGTTATTTATTCTTTTATTGTTAAAACACTTTACAGTAAAGTATTTTATTGTTTATCTTTTAACTTCACTATTATGTTATTCTTATACATTTTTCTAAGGTCCACATTTTTTGACCATTTTTTCTATAATGTTTTACACTGCAAAAAATCTAAATCTAGATAAGCATTTTTTTCTTAAAATAAGTGCATTTGTTCTTGAATTGAGGAGGTAAAAGAGACAATTTGCCAATGGAACAAGACAAGTTACACTTAAAATAAGAAAAAACAATTGCATTGTCTTATTTCAAGTGCATATTATCTCATTTTCTTATTTTAAGAGCAAAAAT